AATCACCAACCGCCTCTGCTCTCAATGACTCCCCTCCCTCTCTGCTCAAAATCTACGGTGTACCCAAACCCATCCTCACCCCAGTAACGTCTATAAAGGATCGCTTTGTCACAGGATGTGATAATAAGAGATACCAAGTGATAGGAGAGGCAATTGGCACAAGCAAGGGTAGATACAAAAAAACTCAGTCAGATGGCTAAGACGGGAGAGTGGAGACAAGGCTGTCAATAATTTAATAGAGGTATGTGTCATTGCTGTATGTGACAGTGAGCTTCTTCATAGATGTTGCAGCCAATCATTTCATGAGCGAGAAAAGTGATGGCTTGATTCCACCAATCAACAACAAATTTCTCAAGGCAGAGCCCGAAATGTCTAAAAAGCAGTGGACTGTTGTTAATGTTGAAAAAAAATGTGTGTCCTATATGTAAAACAAAAAGGATAAATTACTCCCAAGTCAGACTAAAGCCTAATAACAATATGACTTTCCATCCTGCCCATGAAACCACATATTTGCATAATGTCACCACTGACAGAGTCTTCATTTAATGTTCGGGCACTCATTGTGCTGCATGTGGACACATTTGTGAAATTTTTATTTGAGCTTGTGGATCTAAAATTCCATCTCTCAATATAAAGAGTGGTAACTGATCAGACAAAGGGACACTGACTCTGTGATAGGGCTGGGTAATATGATAAATGTGCAGTATGTTAAATACCGTGAGAGGGTATAAATGTGTCATATTTGTCAATATTTGTCAGATTTTGCGATATGGTTTATACTCCAGTAACAATCTCTTTGACATCTCAGGGTGTATTGGGCGATTGTGGGCAATGTTTTATATCAGTGAGCAGGACTGATTAATGACAACATGATGTAACTTGATGTGTCATGTATTTAAATTACTCTTAATGGTTTACCTTTCCCAAAACCAGATACTGCAGTCTGCTTATTTTTTGTCCTTATAAAGTTTATCACTTGGTTAGCCAGGAAATTACTAACTTAAAGATCCGCTGTATAGGATTTAGTGGCATCTAGTGCTGAAGTTGCAGATTGCAACTAACTGAACACAGCTTGCATCTGTATTTGATAACTTTGGAATGAAAACGGGCTGTGAAGTATGTAGGAGAAACTACTTTAGCTGTTAAACGGGCCCTATATAAAGCCAGTGTTTGGCTTGTTTGTTCTGGGCTACAGTAGAAACATGGCGGACTCCATGGAAGGAGGTACATGACAACATGTCCTAATATTCAGGTGATTATACCAGCAATGGAAAGATAATAGTTATGAATAATCATATTCCATTCGCTGAGGCAAAAGATCGCCTAAACTACATGTCACACACTGGAACATTTAACGCATAATACATTAGTAATGTGATATAAATTATATTCACTGTGAAAGGCCACTACTCTCCAAAGACTTCAACTTCAACAACATCATGTTCATTACGCTGTCTGTGTTTCTCTCAGTACTGACCTGTGGCAGTGGGTTGGGGGGCTTGGTAAGGATGCCTCCTATGTAGACCACATGTGGCAGAGTGGGCCTGGGGAACTCCAGCGCCATGTCAGTGCATAGCATCCACAGCCGGCTGCCCTGCACCAAGTCAGCCATGGCTACTTGAGGCTTCACTCCATGTTTCTTCATAATCCGGTCATACTTGGGTAATGCAATATAATGGACTCCAAAGCGCTGCACCAGATAAACAGCTGTGTTGGTGATCCTCTGGACCAGAGACATACGGTCTGTCAGCAATGAGTTGAATTCGGGAACATATGAAAGCGGAGCCGGGGCACCCGCCTCTGCCGGGTACCACAGGCCTGTGCTGAACACGGCATATTGCACACCCAGGATATGAGCGATCACAAAACCACACATCTCATTAGGGTCCACCAGCAGCAGGTCAAACTTGGCCTCTTTGAGGCGGGTCATTACCTCAACATTACCAACGACAGCATCACAGTTCTGAGAGTAGTGGTCAAGAATGTCAAACAGTTCCAGAAATGTCAGGCGGCCTGAGAAGATGTTGCTGACTTTGGACTGGAGGAAATTGTCAGCCGTGCTGCTGTTAAAGATCCCTGGATAGTGCTGTAAGTGGTAGTGAGGGGAGGGGGGCACCTCACGACCTTTCGAAATTAGAAAATGGGTCTCATGGCCCTCCTCGTGCAGAGCCGTGGCCAGTGTCTTGAAGATGTAGAGGTGTGATTCAAACATGATGGGTGGTACCACGATCACTTTAGCGGCCCACGATGTGCTGGGACTCCAAGTGAGGAGGCCAAGAAGGAGTAGTAGTGACGAAGGTAGTAGCATGGCTGAAATAATAAAGAAATGAGCAATGTTAAAAAGCAATGTCAAAAATGAACAGCTTATTAGATGGGTCTAGTTTAAATCTTTAGTTACTTTATGAACATTACTCTGGCACACCTCTTATCAGTCACCCATAATGCAAGGAGGCAACACTTTCACGGAGGGGAAAATCTTACGTTGTATGCTTCAAACAAAGTTTCAGTCCTGTCATACATACTGAGAAATAGGATTGAGAGAATTTCTCAGTATCTGCGTGGATATATTCTTTATCCTCAATGGTGTACCTTTCTTAAATAACCTCTCTCTCTCATTTTTTTGTTTTCGATTGATTCCACCCCTTCATCCCTCCTCACTCTGTGCACAGCCGTCACTGACATGGCGTGGGTAGCACCAACGTCATTCTAAACCTCAGGCCGCTCTATTCACAAACACAAACACAAAGAGTCATTATCGTGCCACCATGTCATAGCCTGTGCCCTATATGCCTACACTCATTCTCCCTCTCACTGGGAATAATCATCAACACTGGTTGACTTTTTATAAGGAAAGCTATCAATTATCCAGGTTTTTTGTAATCAAAAATAACTAACCCATGTTCTCTTTCCACAGGGTGTTACACCTTAAGAAATGGTCTGACCTTTTGGAGGAAAATGTATAAAGGACAAATCAAAAGCGTAATTGTGGATTTGGACCAGGAGCTAAGTCAGCAAGTTCTTGTGCAGCAAAATGAGTAGTCCAAATTTTTAACTTGATGCAAACAACACAACATAATGCGGCAGCAGATGAATAAATTCTTGACCTATTTACATAATGTGTGCAGCCTACCGTCTCCTTTCAAAGCTCTCTTTTTGGGTCATAGCACACAGTTATCTTAATATGCTGTTCCTGCATCACATTGCACCATCATGCAGATTATGAGGTCATAACTTCAAACGAGGTCAAAAGAAACTGATGTTCGAGGGCCGGTAATGAAGCATCTTGAATAATTACAATCAGCCTTAAAATGTACTGCTATATCTAGTTAAGCAAATAAATGAAATGGGTCAGGTGCTAGGCTTAAATCCAACCTGACCCACTGGGTGTTCTCTGTGTGGGCTTTAAATGTTCTTGTGTTTACGTGGATTTCTTTCCACAGGCTAAAGACCTAAAGATTAGGGGAATATGAAATTGTAAACTCCCCGTGGGTGTGGAAGTGAGTGTGAATGTGATTCTACATCCGTTTGTGTCAAACTGCCACTTCTGTGATAGCCAGTGAGTCAGTCTTCTGTCAGCCCCCTAGACGTCTCTCGCGTCACGTTTTATCGACATTGTCGTCCTCACTTAATCTATATCAAATGGCATGGCCCATATTGTTTCTGTTGACCATCTCGTGATAGCATCTAAACAGGATTATATAGTGCATCAGCCACCTGTTTGTCCACAATATGAAGTTTCTCTCTCCGCAAACAGCTGGGGCCTGGTAGGAGGAGGACTCAAAGTGGCCGCCATTATGTTTAGCATTGTCCTGAGGATATCGTTACTTCGCAGCCCAGACTGTTGACAGTAACTATAGAGACCAGCCACTGTCTACTGAGGACTGTGATCCGTCATGACTTAAGTTACTAACACTGGAGTTTGGTTACCCTGCGCACATGGAGGGCTGAGGAAATTATCTGGATTAAGAGAATTAAAGCATACGCAATGACGAGCTGATCCGGGTGAAGACAAAGTGGGGATGAACAACGCACAAACGTTAAAACAGTAGCGAAACATATTTTAAAGTTTGTAATGAAAGCATTTTATTAAGGTATTATATGTCATGGTCAGCGGATACGAGCTCGGAGAAATATCAATATTGGTACTGTGATATGAAACATCAACAGCTACATTATCATTGAGTGATACAAATGTCTTAACATTAATACATAACATTTACCCAATACTCTGCATCCACTATCTAATCACTGTTGTTTCTCCTAAATCATGTATGGTATGATGAACACTTACATATAATTGCTTATTGACATTCAGTGAGTCATATTGTGATAATACGATCATTATTATCAATTTGGACACCTTGACTTTGTTATCAAATTCTAATCAGGTTGTAATTAAACAAAAAAGTACATTGATAAACGTTTTGTTTGTATTCTTTCTGAATATAATGTATAATCATGGAGCAACTCACTGCATTAAACATCAATTTGCTTACTTTATATGATCATGCAAACATTCTCCTTATTATAATATAGATCACAAGTTATTAGCATTGTGATATACATTCTTTTTACCACACTGGCCAGCTCTAAATCAACAGCTCCAACAACTGCATCTGATTTTGTAAAAGCTACCTCACAGGTGAGTTTACTCTGCAAAACATTACTTTATATGGCAAATTGTCCAAGCAAATTAGCACGAACACGACAAAGAATGACAAGAAGAAAAATTTAAATTATGGCATAACCTTCCACTTAGGCTTCAACAAACAAAATTCTGTAAGTAATTGTAAACTCAAACCATCTGCTATCATCTCAAATTAATTAGCTTGTACTACAGCTTCCAGTTGTGTATTATTGAAAGTGAAAACCAATTAAAGCTTCCACAGGAGGAATTTTCATCCATTAAGAGTGACACAAGATGGTAATTATATAGTAATTATCCCTCTCTAATACCATAATCTAGACTAACATTTTCTTGATTTAGAAGCCTTGCTGCCTCCACGGTGGGGGTTCATTAGCTCAATGCACCCTGTTGAGAGGAGAAATGGCACTTCCAAGAACTGGTATTAAGTCAAACACAAGACTGTCCAAGCTGTTTATTTTTGCCTCATATCTTTCAAATGGAGTCTGATTAACTGATCTTAGGTTTGTTTGCTGCAATAGAATCCAAATGGGGTCCCTTGAAGGGCTTTGACTGATTTGACCAAATAGGCTTAGACACACTTCGCTTTAGCTTTCAGGTCATATAATACAGCGTGCTGGGAAGTACAGCTTGGAGACAGATTTGTAGCCTACTATAAGCTGTAAAGTGGAATAAATTTATTAACTTTAACATAGACTTTCTTTTATTATATCACAAGTCAGACTCTGATCATTCAATCTAAGAGGTAAACACACAAATCGGCCTTGTGGCTCCATTTCAATGTCTACAACAAAAAAATGCATGCATGTGTGAAAAGGCACATTAGGCACACTTTCCTCTTACGTGAATCTAAAATGAAAGGTGGAGTCCAGAGCACTTCATAGATAAGTTAAGATAAGGTCAAGAACCTTTAAATGTTGAATTTTGGTGAAAACAAAAAAAAGTTGGGGAAAAAAACACCTGACTTTGCCACGGCACAGCACATGAGAAGCTGTTTATAATGATAACATTGCCTCTCTCCATAACCTTTTATCTTTAAGCTTGATCAGCATTTGAAAGATAGTGTACATCTGGATCTAAGAAAAGCCTACTTGTAAACATCCGCCTCACACATATAGGCTATGGAAATACCATTGTAAAATGGCCTGGGGTTTAAGCATAAGGATCCCAACTACCCACTTTGACCGAGTCAGTCCAACGACAGCTTCTATTGCGACTCTACAGACCAGACAGAAAATCCTACAGAGTCCTATTCAACCCTTGTTCCACCTATCAGCTCTCCTTCCTCATCTTTTGCTACACGTCACTGCTCAATACTATTTCTTCTCACTTTCATAATCTCATACTACCTTAGCCAAACTCTAGCAATCGACTCGCGAGAACAGGTCGGACAGGATCTGTCTTCCCAAGTTAACTGCAAAATAAACAAGTAAAGCAGGGGACTGAGACAAAGCACTAATGGGTTTCAGGTAACCATCAACAGGATCTCATTAACATAATGTACTGCAAATAAAGAAGCACGGATGAATGGGAAGAAACAGGGAAATAGTGGTTTAAAAAAGTAAAAGCATAAATATACGCTTTAAAATGTCCTTGCTCAATATAATTAACCCATAGTAATAATCTGTGGGATGACTGACAACCTTAAAACCTGAGCAAACAATTCCTCAAGTATGGCAGGCTCTCTCAGTCTAGGCGGGTTGATCCTTTTATCCCTTATAATAAGGCCTAGCTTTGAGCAACACACACACACACACACACACACACACACCCAGGTAACCCAAGGAGTTTTCAAGCAATAGCCTATGGAATATGGATTTCAGGAAGATAAACGTTTGACAGTGACTTGCATAACTAAAAGTAGGAGTGCCCTAAAGTCACCTCACCCAAGTAAAGGAACTTCTTTCTATTTTTTTTTTTTTTTTTTTCATCAGGTGATCGTTTTGCGTTGGTGCAACAGGATTGGCCAAACAGGTGCCCTGATGTAGGTTCGCTCATTGGAAAATAAAAAAAAAAAAAGACACTGGCTTTGATTGGCTTTGAAGTGTGGGCGACTTTTACCTTAGTTTTCAGGTCAGGTGACCTGAGATCGAGTTCCAACCCCCCCCCAATAGCTGTAATGGGATCGAAGAGTCGCGTATTTCATATCACAAGTTAAACTCTGATAATAAAACGGCAGAATGACCCGCCAGTAGCTTGGCAAGGTTGCTGTATTTTATTATTTTTATAATAAGTTTGCTTTTTTGGAGCTTAATATACAACTAACATATCTCAGTGAATAAGTCATGGGTGAAAAAGCCTGCCGTGGTCTAACACACAGCCTTAAAGGCATTACATTACAGAGAACAACACTAGCATTTAAAACATTTGTTTAAAAAAAAAAATTATAAATGTAAATATAAGTGCAGCTGTACAACTAACTAAATATGTTCTCTCATACTCTCATATTAATGTTACAGAAGATATAATAACACCAGAAACGGTCCACTAGTGAATTTAAAAATACGTCACGTAATCGCCCCTGGTAACATTTTCGTTGGTGGTAATGAAGGACGTGAACGGAACACAGCAACCTGGATACACCTGCATTTCAGCGAATGAGTTTTCAGTACAAATAATAAACCGCCAGAGAGTAAGGAGGAGTTGACAGCTGTCAACTTCAGCATTATCAAGTCCCTCTTTGCAAGTATACGCTTCATGACGAATGAAAGCCTGGAGTTTCGTTGAGTTATTCGGGTACACCTGTTGTGACAAGCGCTTAGCTCGCCTGTGTTGGCCTTACCTTGTGAGTTCAGTGTTGCTCTGGAGTGTTGGATGGGCTGTGACACTGCAGTAGTCCTAATTTTTCTTTAACGGATTTTAAAGTGTCGGAAAGATAAAACACAACAAAAAAAAAGTTGGGAGGACTTAAAGTAAAATGGGTCCCCGGGTATGGAAGACGCGCAGAGGGAACATTAAAGTCGCAGTCCCTCTCACAGGCGCGGTGAAGGGCGGGACTAGTGATGTGACAAGATGGGAGTAAAGGGAGCGGCCGAAAGGGAAAAAAACAGAGTGGTTGGTTGTGTAAAGCAGAATAAAGGTGGGGAGTATTGACACATAAAAGGTACTTTTCCTTAGTTGGTGGTAAGGTGACTCCAACCCTGTTGATACTATCTGCAGTTGATTTGGAGAACGAGAAGTGTTCAAATAATTTACTTTAATAAAAGCAGCAATGCCACTGTATGGAGATGTACAAGAGTATTAGCCACTAAATACAGCCTAGTTAAAGTTAAAAAAAAGTAACTCATAATGCAGTGTGGCTGTACTGTCAGTATTGTATCATTAGATCATCAATTATTAGTGGTGTTTAGTGGTGGTTTTAATGAGTTGATTTATATTTTCTCTAAATCTCAAATGATACTAGTAACTAAAGTTTGCAAATAAATGTAGTGGAGTAAACATAGGCTAGAATATGAATATGTAATCCATCAAGTCTGCCGCCAAACATGATTTTAATAAATTAATTTGGGTTGAGGTAAGTGGTCAAATGGGATTTTTTACAACTTAGCAACCCAAAAGTTATTCTTTTTTATGGCTTATACTTCAGCTAATATACAAGCTTCAGTAAATGATTTATTAACCAGGAACAAAGCCTCTTACAACCATTTACAAATTGTGGCTTAATGGACAGTGGTGCCCATATTATACCCCCTCACTGTAGAGGAGGAGTAGATTTGCATTCATTAGAAACTATAAGAAATATGTAGTTAATGCTTCTGTGTGAGGCTGATAGTAATAAAGTACCTGTGTGTAGGATTTAGTGGCATCTAGCAGTGAAGTTTTCAACCATATGAGTGCAGCTCAGACTTCTAAGCGTGTGGGAGAAACTACGGTGGCATGAAAACTGCAAAAGGCCCTATCTAAAGCCAGTTATTGGTTTGTCTGTTCTAGGCTACTGTAGAAGTATGGCGGTTCAACATGCCGACCTAAGTGGAAGAGGACACGTTCCTTCTGTAGAACAAAACAGCTCATTCTTCGTATTTTGTGATTATATGCTAATGAAAACATAACCTATGAATATTATATTCCATTTCTGCAATGGATCCTTAGATTAGAAGAAAATTACAAACTTATTATACAAAGGTGGTTCCGTTTCCATAAGGCATGTCAAATATTATTGTATTTACTTTTATTATTAATTAATTATATATTGTACTATAAATCATATGTTTATTTATCTATCTATTCTATCTGTTTCACCAACTCACCTTTTGTGTCTGTGTGTCTGTGTGTGTGTGTGTGTGTGTGTTTCTAAAAGATTGATGATTGAGGGCTGGGAGATAAAGTTCCTGATGGTGCTGAAATTCCACATTTATTCTTCTAAAACCATATCGGCAAAAATGCTTTGTAATATATCTTTATAATCAGCAAAATAATTAGCTATCCACAGCAATCTGTTGTGCTGAGCCACATTATTACACCATCTGCACCAGTCCTTTATGTGTGCAAGTGTGTGTGTGATTGTGTGTGTGTGATTGTGTTTTAGATAGCGTAGTCTTCACTCACCACCTCATTCATTTACAGAAATGCAGCACAATACACACTATACACATCCTACACTGCAGGTATGACGTAGACAACAGCTGTTGAACTATAGCAGTTTACCTGCAGGGAATGGCTTGGGAAAAGGCCTTGGAGGGTTGACTCCCCCACCTGCAAACAGTCAAGAGAGAACAGATGCTTATCAGGCAGAAAAGAAGTGGAGATAAAGAATTTAAGGGGTGAGTTCATTGTAATTCTGCTGACACAAGGGGCCTGACTGTCACACAATGAAGTAGGTCTATTTACATGGTAAACACACACATGCACACATACCCATAAATGGTAGGGAAGTAATTTTTGGGGGCGGGGGTTGGAGAGCAGAGCCACAATGTGTGTAGTTAAACACAAATGGATGTTTCTTCTCTAACAGTGATCCATTTGTTTATGCATCTGCCCTCCACACACACACACACACACACACACACACACACACTGTTCATCTCTTTCAATACATTCACTGCCCTCTGCATCCCATTTCCTCAGCTATGCCCTGAGTCATCACAATATGCCACTGTACTATTGGCTACTAGGCCTGAGCATCTACTCAGCCCTCCAATCCAAAAAGGGCCTGTATGTAGATTTGGGGTGTGTTTGTGTGTTAACTGGCTCCTACCATCAGGCTCGCTCATCATGTGTCTCTTTTCTAATTTGCCCCTGTACACTATTTCTCTCTGTTTCACTCTCTCTTTTCTCCCCCCTTCACTCTTCCTTTGCTATTCTCTTTCTGCCTGCCCCCTCCCTCTCCCCCTGCCTTCCTTTCCCCCTGCCCCCCACCCTAGATATCAGGTGTGTTACCTGAGCTCCATATCAATAGTTAATCACCCTGGGACACCCAATCTACAGAGCATGACAGAACTCTCCCGTGGAGAGTTGTGGTGGTCATGGTGTGTGTGTCTGTGTGTCTATGTGTGTGAGAAATGAAAGAGAGAGGGGAGAGTGGGGGTGCTAAGACTTGCATATTTTGAGAGAAGGGAAAAGCTGCTGAGAGAGCTGGGAGAGAGAATGGGCAAACAAAGAGAGAGAAGAAAAATGAGCAAAAGATGAGGAAGCAGAGGGAATTTGGATTGTGCAGGGCTAGGCAATAAAACTGACACATAAGGAAAATTATCGGACGTATGCCATAGTTCTGTGGGGGGTTTGTACTTGTCTATATGGTATAAAACCTGAATTAAACAGGGAATAAAGCACTTGGAGTGACATGTCTTCACAGTAAAATAGATTAACAATACTTGGGGAATTTAAGGTCTTAATATATTTTAATTATTTTAATTGTGTGAACTGAACTAAATTTGGGGAGACTCTGCTTCTATACAAGTTCTGTCCTGCTCCCTAGTGGTCAAACGGTAGTATTACAAATAAAATAACCACAAGTCTTTCCTGTATCTATATGTTTGTTAATCCCTCACTTCGTCTCTGCAGCACTGCTAATATGTAAGAATATTTGAAGATTTCTTCTGAGAAGAGGGTCTAAGGATAGAAAAATAAAAAAATGGAAAAAAAAGAATAAGAAACCAGAAGAATTGGGAATGAGTATAGTCTATGCATGTATGTACATTAAGTATAATCATGGTAACCTTGTAGTTTACTTTTATAGTAGGATGTTTTGTAATGTAGCTAATGTGTTGGTTCAGAGTACCTTAGTCATCTGTGACTATTATCATCTTGTCTTCCTGGAGGACCACAATGAAAATAAGTTATCCTCGCCATTTCCAATGAAAATGAATGTATTTGTTACAGTCTTTGACAAGGTATATATTTTGAGATGTCAAAAAAAATCAAATAAAAAGTTAAATGACATGTTAAATTGCACTGAATTTAGATTGTATGATCCTATGTGTCAAGGTGTCCTCTATCAGTGTTTGGAGGTCAGATGTGTTTTCAAAAACAAAGGCGAAATTAGAAAAAAATAGATAAATCAAAACACATGCATGAGTTACATATGTACAAATAAACATAGATCATGTCCCTCAAGTATGCTGATGTTCTGTAATGGAATTTAGACATTTATTCAGACATAATAACATTAGTGAGTGCATTCATCATTCATTTGTTGTACATGAAATTGCTTCAACTGTATTGAATCACACTGAGTGGTGTTTCTGTTATTTACTCTACCCTCATTTACAAATTTGACATAACATTAGAAACACCTGAACATCCTTAAAGCGAGGATTTATTGCAGGGATGTTGTATTAGACTGCATTAGTTTTAGCTGGGTGTACCTTTAAACTAGCCATGGACTGTACAGTATGTATAGAGCGAGTGTCTTGAAATGAAATACATAAAAAGCAAAAGGGAGGGAAAGGATGTTTATAGAGAATGTTTCATGGAGAGCTGTAGTGAGGAGAAAACACTCAGTGAGAAAATGTATGTGATAAGATATGGAAGATGAGTTTTCTCTGACAGAAGGCAGGGAGGGAATTTTTTGTTCTCTCGAGATGAGGAAGGTCGTATCTCAGTTCAGAAGCCAGGAGTCAGTAGTCTCAACTGCCTGAAGTTATGACCGCTACCACAAGGAAATGAGAGCCAAACATCTGGTAGAGGCAGAATGTGAATAAACTGGCCCATGTGCTCTAGGACAGCATACAAACCTGCTTTAAAGTAGAAGAAGGGGTTGATCTGAGAGAATTTGGGCAGGTTTAACAAGTTGAGCTTGCAGCCTTCTCAGTGTAGCAACTGGATGTGTCAGGAGTAATGAGGGTGGTACAGTAATCCAGACAGAAAAAGACTGCAATTTTTTAAAGGGTTGGACTAGATTCCTTATAATGATGTGTCTGTTCCCTTGGATGTGGTGTGTAAACATAGAGGATCAGATTTGGAGTTGCACTGTTGTCTAGACTCAAATCAGATGTGTCTCATATAGGCCATTATTTTCCAGGGTATAACAGAGAATGTCTTTTTACTATCCTTTTATCTAAATGATCTAAAAAAACTAATTAAAGCCAAGGATTGGAACATGTATTTCTAACATCGTCTCAAGATGAATAAATACACAGCATGATGTGCAATAGAAGAGTTGAAAAGTTATAAGTAATAATTATTGTTGGTGCAGTCTGCGAAAATGAGTGTATATTTACACAATAATTTGTGAACCATGAGCCCACTACTAAAACCTAAAGAAGCTAATTATAGTAAAAAATAATCAGTGAAAGATTTTGAAAAAAACAAAACACTGATCATTTTAAAATACCCAAGCACGACTGACCTATCAGAGAGGAAATTGAGAGTCAAATTGTTTAAGTTAAAAAGTGATCAAAATTCACTATCTGTTTGAAGAATGCAGCAGCCTTGAAAGACCTATATTAGTAACACCTGACACCTGTATTTGTGACATTTGTGAATATGTTGACATAAGATAATCTGAAGATAATATGGTGATTTAAGTACATCTTGTACATCTTTCTA